AGCTGATTCATGGCTGGTAATTTGGAACTGGTTCCCATCACCCTGCTATTATAATAAAAGCTACCTTCTAACTCCTTGGTGCAAGGAGTCTTCCATTCGGTTTGATAATGGTTTTTCTGCAACAATTTCACTTATCATAACGTCTTCTGGGTCCATCCACATTGTAGCATATGTCAGAATTTCACTCCATTAAAGACTGTTGAGTATTCTGTCATATGCATACACTGTATTATTTTGATCTATTTATCTGCCCATGGACATTTTAGTTGTTTTCACTTCTTAACTGTTGCAAACAGTGATTTCTTTGACATTGGTGTATGTGCAATATCTGTTTGAGCTTCTGTTTTTGATTCTTTTAGGTTGTTATATATTTTTAAAGCCAATTCAGGCTACTGTGTCTTTTCACAGTATTCCACACTCACACTGTAGGGTATAATTTTTTCCTATGTTTTATTGGCCCAAACTCACTATGGAGCATGTCTTTTTCCCCTTTTTAATAAATATAAAACTATGCTACTGTTAAAAAAAGACAACCTAAAATGAGCTCTCTCCTCCCACCTGAGGGAGCTACTTTTGGCTTGGCTGGGTTGGGCTGGGTTTGGGTTTGGGTTTTTAGGGAATGGAATTGGAAACATCGTCCCAGAATGATGACCGTGGCCATGAGTGCACATGGGTAAACTTCGCCACACTCTGTACTAGAGGGTCAAAGGAACACAGAGGCTGTGAAGGAAGGTGACCCCTTCCTCTGTCATCCATCCAGGAGTCTCATTTTACTTGGGTGCAGGGTTGCACTTGGTGAATAGCCTGCCTTGACATGTGCAGTCATAGCCTTGCAAGATTCAAGCCTCCTTTGTAGCAGCAGTGGCTGCTCTCTTGCCTTCCCTCAGAGGCATAAGACCGTGTCTTATGGTCTTACCACCTGCACCAAGTAACCTGGGGTGCTTATTTAGAAGACAAGCTCTTGAACACCTAGGGACTTTGGTGCAAAACCTCTAGGTGAGCCTGGGAGTCTGCATATTAGCTTAGTCTCTGTGCTGATTTCAAGGCAGCCGAGATGAAGAACCACTGACAGAGTCTACTTCAAGCCTCTGGAGGCCCATGGAACTGTCCGTGGTACTAATTAGAAACTTCACTGCCCCACTCCGAGGCCAGTCCCTCCACCTGGACTCAGGCGGTAGCACGACTTTTGTTTAGTCATGGCCTGAAAATTGCCAGGTTTTAACCTACCAACCCCCTCCACTTCCTATGGCCAGATCATCATCAAGTCTTACAGTTTTCACATTGAGATGTGACTCCCAGCTTCTCTTCCTTACCCATCACTATTAGCACTGTCGCAGTTCAGTCTTCTGCCCTTAGCCTGGGCCACTGCACCAGCCTACTCACGACTCTCCAGCCTCTGGTCTCCACCACTCCCCCATATATTCTCCACCCTACAGCCGACCTACAACTTGCCTGCTTGGAAACCTCCTCTGGCTTCCTGCCATCCAATTCCAACCATGCTAATTGTCCTAAGAGAGCCTTCCAATCAGCATTTCTGAAATAACCCCCCCCTCTCTTTGCCTTCATACTCTTCTGCACACTGCCCCTTCTGCCTGTGCTTACCCTTCCTTTGTGTCCTTACCTGGGAAACTCAGCTCAGCTTGAGTGTCTTGTTTCTGCATGAGCCATTCTCAATGCTTCCTGGAAGAATCAGCTGCTGTCTCCATTCTTCTGCTGATATAAACGATTCATCCCTATATCCCTATCTCTGGGGACTACAACATAGTTGTCCTCAGAAAGTACTATCACTTAATGAGTTGTTTTCAACTCTATCAAATCTGAAAAGAACATCCCACATACAAATATTTATTTGGGCCTTACATCCCAAGACTTCTTCCTCAGGGCCTTTGCACATATCTTTCCATCTGCCTACGACTCTTGTTCTAGACCTCTACCCTCTTCTCCTTCAATGTGCAGTGCAAATGATACATCCACACAGATACTTTTGGTTTCTCAATCTAAATCAGACCTCTTCCAATGAAATCATGATAGGAGAGAAAAACAAAGAAGTATAAAGCAGTAAATGATTGAGTGTCACATTCAGGAAAGACTAAAAAGGAAATGCTATTTAGGAGTCCAAGGAATAGAGAACTTAATGTGAATTTGAAAGTCAGACCACAGCTTCGCATAAAAGCTAGACTAGAAATGGAGTATTCAGGATGGAGTAAGAATCAAGTACGTGAAAAGTTAGGTGGAATGGCCACTGGCAGAGTCTGTGGCAGCATTGTCACAGCCATGCAAAGGACCTGGGCAAGGGCATGAAGCCAATGTGTGCCCTGCCCCCCTCTGCTCTGCCCCAGCCCCATCCTCACCCACTGCAGCCCTGCCCACCAGGTGGGGGAGCTTTTGCCCATTGGTTCATAGGCTTCCAGGGGCAGCTGAGGTCTGAACGGAGAGGGGAAATGAGGCAAAGCTGTGGTGCCAGTAGGTGTAAGAAGGAGACAATCATCAGCTTCTTCGGGGAGGCAGGGAGTGGACTGGATCAGTTGAAACACAAGCCTTAGAGGAATGGAGAACTGGAAGCAAGGCCCATTCTGAGCTCTGTTGTCAGGCTTTGGACAGCAAATAGGTACCTGCTGACTTCTCAGGAAGCCTTAAGATGTGTTACCGGAAAATCCAACCCCACAGCCACCTCCTCCAAGAGAAGCATCAGCTATGACTATGGAGGAGCAAAGATGAGGCTAGGATGAAGCACTGGAATTACTGCCCCAAATGCACAAGCAGGTGATAAGAGCAGCTCTCTCCAGGGGCTCTGTCTCTCCCTTCCCAGCACTCACTGCACCTTACGGTTAAGACTTGCTTCTTCCTTTGTCTGCCTCACCG